ATACTTTCTGTACTCTATTGATTGGCTAGTTACTTCAGCTGTCTCACTGTATCCTTAAGGAGTCTCTCACATTTCATCCTGATATCCAGTCCAGTAATTCATATCATTGTTAAAATCAATGACTTTTCATCATTGAAGTAGTGTGTATGCCATTGTTTTGGAAGCTGCAGTACTGATGAAGGACTGATGAAGCCATCTGGATAAGAGGCAAAATGTCCAGACAAAGGATGATTGAAAACCCTTCTAGACGAGTCAGACGAGACAATCCGATGCAATTCTCTAGTCTGACATTTTGTCTGAGAGTGTTTTTTTTCCACTGTTTTCATCCTGCACACAACAATGAATGAAAGCAATCTTTCTATAATGTAACACCTCACTGTCGGTTCCCTTCGTGGGTGTCACTTCGATCAATACTGGACGTTTTTTGCATCCAAAATGACAAGAGCAATATTTTACTTCTAGTTTTCCCCAGCATGACTGCAGTGCAGATCATTTGAAACTAAAGGTAGGAGGGAAACTACAAATGTAATTGGTTAATGGAAGCTTTTCGGTAATTCACAACAAATGTTCAAACTCACCCTCCTAGTGTGACAGTTTTGACCGTGTGGGGACATTTGGCTAGTCCATTGTTACAAAAATAAAAATAAAAAAAAAACTAAAAGTAGTTTAATTCCTTTTTGTTACCTTGTGAAGGTCCTCACAAGGATAGTAAGACAAACGTGTGTGAGAAAGAGAGACAGAAAGAGTGGCTGGACTGCGAATGAGTTAGTAATGTGTCAAAAAGCAAGGGGAACTGATTTCAACCGAAACTGAAATTGAATTCATCAGCCAGTGACCTTTCATATTTCTTTTTTTTTCCCCAGTGAACCAATTTTGTCTGTTCCTTGTACTGAAATTGTGAGAGGGTTGAATATTATTAATGGAAATTGGAAAAGAAATGAATAAGCCACATCTGGGGGATACAGTTTGTCTCTTGAGTGATTCATATTTTTTGTTTTTGTCCTTCTGCACTTCTGTAACAAGATTGAGTGATAATATCTCTCTTCTTAGGTCTTTACTGCAGAGGGGGTGAGTTTTATGTGCAAGAAGCCTTCAGACACTTACTAGCGCACTTCTGGCTTTATAAGACCTCTCATGTAATTCCCAGAGAAAAGACAGAGATAGGGATAGAGAGATAGAGAGAGGGATGGAGAGAGAGAGAGAAGGGGGGGAGAGAGGGAGAGGTGGGAAGTTCATGGGTTCTTGTTCTCATATTCCAATGAATTTTTCAGCATGAGTTGGTAGGATTCGCCACACGCTGAGATGCTCTCTCTTCTCCCTCTCTCCCTCTGTTTCTTTCTCTTTCTTCTCCCACACTCTCTTTCTGCATGTATATTTTATTGGGCTGATTTTTTTTCCCCCTCTCTGGATTCGGGCCAGTGGTGGCACGTGTTTCCATGGCGCATGAGTAGGCCGGATTTGCTGGGCAAAGACTGCCACAAACACATTTGTCTTACTATCCGTGTGAGGACCTTCCACTGACGTGATTATTAATGCGGCTAACTTATGCTACGCTACACCTAAATCTAAACTTTACCTTAACCTCAGTAACCAAAAGGACACCAAACAAAAGCTGCACTTTTTTGTTAAAAAGCTGTTTCCCCTCATGAAGACCATTCCAAGGTGAAACCTGTGAGATATTCCTATCCTTGTGGGGATATTTGGTCCCCACCATGATGTAAAAGCATGCCCCTACACACACAGTGTTCATTTCCTCAGACAAATTGCAGCCATAACTCTTAATAACCTAAGTTAGCAAGTAAAAGTGTTGAAGCCTGAAATATATCACACAATATATCAAAGCACAGACCTCTGGGACATGAAGGCAATAAACTAAAACAAGTAACATTAAGGCTGTGCTTGGTGTGTTTTATGCTTTTTCTATTAGCAATATCATGTTGTGCAGTCACTGAAAGGGGTGTATGCACAAAGGGCATACTTCAGTGTTTGCACCATTTCTATTTTCATAGAGCAGCAAATCTCCAATCATGCTCGTTCACTTCTTTAATAAATTAGTGCTATCGATATAACAGAGAACAGCAGCCTTTCTCAAATCCCAGACCATGTAATGAAAAGAATCCCCTCCTTATGCCCTTTGCAATCCCAATTAATTAAGCGTATTAGTTTTAATTATTTGCTCTTTTGCACACGTCAGGTGTTTTGTGACGTTGTGTGTTTGAGTACGCTTATTAGAAGTGATTTTTAGCTTTTATACTCCAATGGTTTACAATTTGCCTCAAGTACGAGAAGCCTTGAGAGCTAATTAGTACTGTGCTGTACAATTCTCTTGGATCTCACACTTGCTCTGTTGTATCCCTCTCTACACTGGTTAGCTTTGTCTTTGAAATCTCAGAGAGAAAGTTACAGATTCTGTTTGTTCTGGGGTTTTTTTTTCTTTCACTCTTTTCGCACTTCTTTCTCCTGCAGATTGGCTCACCATGTAGCTGCCACAGAACAGCACACGCATGTACACTGATATCAATTCAATTTCAATTCAATTCAATTTTGTTTGTATAGCACTTTTAACAAAGGACATTGTCACAAAGCAGCTTTACAGAAATCCGGATATAAAATTGAAATGTGTCTCTAATGAGCAAGCCAGAGGCAATGGTGGCAAGGAAAAACTCCCCGAGAAGACATGAGGGAACCCCATCCTCGTCCGCGATTATAAGTCATTTCCTGTCTATAACTGTATACTATAGAGTCAAGTGTATTAAAAAGAACTTGAGTATGATCATCGTTACAGTTTTAACTTGAAGTCTATCGTATCAAACTGAAGTTATGAACTGTTCAGTGATGGAGGTTTGAGTGTAAATAGTTCTTAGCAATTGCAGGCTTTAGGCTATCCCAGGAAGAACATCCACAGCCATCTTTAAGGTGTCCGTGTGGTACCATCCACAGTCAACCCATCGTGATCTTTAGGCTATCCATGTGAGGTCATCTTCAGCAGCCATATCAGTGGCCATTTTATGAGTTACTCCTACCCATTGGTGGACGGAGAGACTTGAGTAAAAGTAATGCTATTGTAGTAATTGTCTTTAGATACTATATATTGTCTTTGGATACCATATTTCTTATTGTAAAGCACTATGGGTCAGCTGCTATTGTGTTAAATGTGCTCTATAAATAAAGTTTGATTTGACTTGACTAATAATTCATTTGACTAGTGATCAAGAGTTAATAAGTAAAGAAAAACTACATGTGTACAACATACTACACAACTAATCCAATTATCAAGCATGTGTAAAGAAACGTAAAGTAACGTTAGGTGTCTAGCTAACTTAGGCAAATACTATTGGGGTTTTCATTTTCTTTGTTTGTTAGCTAGCTCATGTTTCTAGCTACATAGTTAGCTATCTAGTAAAGACGCCGCTTACACATTATCCTCTAGTAGCATTTAGATATATTTAACACAACAGACAAGCGCTACTGAATACTGAAGTGACATCTAAAGTTTAATAAGGGTTTCCATAATATAAAACATCAAACAATCTGGCTAGCTAGTCTAGCTTACTCAGCTGGCTAATGGCTTATCTGTACATTTCCATAGGTTGGATGTTGAGCTGTGAAATGCTGATATCTCCACGGGATTTGATTCATATAATTTGCAGATCATTATCACACTGTTTTCTTTGAAAGGTTTGAAACTGAAGATAAACTGGGCCAGGGATGCTCATTTGTCTCCACTGTCTCAGACATTGCTGCTGCTGACTAGCAGCTTTTATTTTGATTTGGTCTCGAAAGTACACGGCTTAAAATTTCCACATACTGTCTTTTAATTAGCTTACAGTCTTACAGCAAAAGTTTAATTAATTTTTGTTTAAAAGGCTGAAATAAAAGTAAAAGTACTATGATTTAATTATACTAAAAAAGTACTGTTACAGTGAACCATGTACTCAAGTACTTTAAAAAGAGTACATGTAGTTCATTACTTTCCACCCCTGCCTTTATCTGCACCTGTATAGTTATTTGGGGAAAAAAATAATTCTAGACTTCTTGGGGTGTTTTCATGCTTACATTGATACAAAAAAGCATCTGGAGGGCTTCCTATCTAGATCAGCAAAATTATTAGAAATTATTATCAGAAATAAGTTTGATTTAACTCTGTGATATGAGGTTGTTTGTATTTGCTATAGGTTTAGAGGTAGAAATTCAAAAGAAGAGAAGAGAAGTTGGTTGTGCGACTTGACTGGATGCAGCCGCAGTTAAAGTGGGACATCACATCACGTACTGCTGAAAGTCCCAAAAATAGCCAGGCTGTTATTTTAGTTACACTGCATGTTGGAATATTGGCAATGAAATCATGTTGATTCAACATGTCATAAATCTCCTTATTCACTCACTAATAAGGCCATTTTTGTCACCGCCACTCTGTCTTCCATGTTTGTTTGTCTAGCTTACCTTCTAACTTGTGACCTGAATGGTTATGAAGTTAAAACTTAAGTTGTACAACTTTGGAAGCTCTGCTGTGCCCAAAAAAACATCTGACAGCATTCTGCCCACATTGTAGTCACTTCCAATAGAATTACTATAAAACACATACTGGTGGTTGAGAAAAATAGTCCAAGTGTGAAAGCAAGCCTCAAAGTTCCTTTGTTTGTCCCTCTTGCAGAAGCCTTAGAGCTACTATGCAGATACCCAAATAACCCTAACTCTAAGGAAAAAATACATCACAATATTAATTTGTCAGTGGTATTTGTTGGTATAAGTATATCCATCCATCCAGTTTCTGTACCACTTACCCTACACAAGGTCGTGGGAAGCCTGGAGCCTATCCCAGGGACACCCTGGATGGGGTGCCAATCCATCACAGGACAAAATCGTGCACACACTCACACACAACGAACAATTCAGAGATGCCAATCAGCCTACAACGCATGTCTTTGGACTCGGGGAGGAAACTGGAGTACCCAGAGGAAACCCCCAAAGCATGGGGAGAACACTCAAACTCCACACACACAGGGTGGAGGTGGGAATTGAACCCCCAACCCTTGAGGTGCAAGGGAAACGTGCTAACCCCTAAGCCAGCCCCCCAGTATTGGTATATATGTAGCTAAAATACATCTGTGTCCTATCTGCTTGTATTTTTCTATATGCACTCATGTGCGTCTGGCGTATTTTAGAGCAGGTACTCGCCCCAGAGCTGCTCTACAGCTAGAAATTCTCTACAGTACCAAAGATATTTCAAAAGGCAGCATTTTTTGTTTGTGAACAGTTCAGCAGTTTTCAACTTCAATTACTGACGAAGTGTCTAGGAAATCGTTAGCTAACACGTTTTTATCCAGCAAGTCATAAAAACAAAAGTCTTTTTTCTGTCACTGGATGTGAAATAAGTGCTTAAAAGATTTGATATGATTTAAGTTTTTTTTTTTGCTAGCTAGGATCCAGTTTACAGCTTTGCTAGCTAATGACTTCGTGCTAGTTATCTGACAAAGCTGCTATAATCTCAACAAAACATGGGAGAAAAATATAACAGCAGGTCTACAGCATGTGCATGTGTACTTTTATGTACCAAAGAGACAGTATGATTGAATTCATGATTCATTAGTGTGGTTTCTGATGGATACCTAAAGTTAGCATTAGCTGTCTTTCATTTGTCAAATTAAGTCGCTAACATTGCCTTATCATGAAGTACCAACACTAATCACATCACACTAATCACATTCTCCCTGTAATTTTGGTCCATTTTTGGTTGCTTACATTGATATTAAAGTATCATCATCTTCAATAAGTGTTTCATTCTGGTTTAGCGTCGAGTGAATCCAGAGCCATTCCTGAGAGCTAGACATGAGGCAGGAATACACCCTGGATGGGGTGTCAGTCTATCATAGGGCACACACACATTCACACACTCATTCACAGCAACCATTTATTTTTTTTATTTTATTTTTTTGTGGAGCCCATTTTGTATTATGCAAATACAAGAAAGCACATTTTGGTTTTGTCCATCACAGACCATCAGGTTGTCAGCTACTAGTCAGTGAAGCTGACAATCACCTGCTGTTTTCTTGCTCTCATCCACTCCGATGTGAGAGTGGAACCACAAAAAGACGGCACAAAGCCTCGTGATTGGCTGAGAAACAGTCTGATTTGCATCCAAAGGTAAAGATGGGGCATAATATTTATGATGTTGGACTGGCTCGTCCCTGCTGTGCATCATGAAGTTCAGAAGCAATTAGAGAGATTCTATTCTTCTTTTTTTCCTGTTTTTTTTTGCAGTCGACACAAGCCCTCATAGCAAGCAAACACACTTTCTTCCCCCCTTTTCTTCCTTCCTGCCTCGCATCTTCTCCAAACTACAGGATAACCATTTGTCACGCTGTTGCAAACTCATTTCATCATATGCAGTGCACACAGTCATTCAGATGACTGCACACAGACGACAGGGAGCTGCGCCTCCAGACGTATAGATTCCACACACACACACACACACACACACACATACCTGAGCCATCTTGTAGATATACAGAGCACTGCTTACAGTCTTCAGCTTTAACCACATGTGTACCAGCAACGTGGGATGGGATTCATCCACATTGTGTTTTCCTCGTTATCTATAATGTACTGTATGTGTATAGGGAAACAATACCTATTGTGGATATACAAAGTGTTTGCTGTTGGTTATGTATAGCTATACACATAGGGAAGGGTTTATGATACATGTATTTAGACACGTTTGAGATACAATATACTATAAATATGTTCATGTTATGTATTTTTGTATTTCTATATATGCGCTGTATATGAGATTCACGGTGGATTGTAGAGTAGGCGGATACACACAAGCTGCTTCGGCTTAGAAATGATCTGCTATGCTTATCGTATTGAAAACAGCACCGTCTGTGTGTTCGTGAACAGGACAGCAGATTACACACACCTGACTGAGTCCATCTGGAAAACAAAATGTGACGTCTAGCATCCATCATGTTGTAAAAACTACCACTGTTGTTACCTGATGTTAAAAAAAGTGTTTTTTTTTTCCCTATTATTATTATTGTCTTTACCATAGCCCTGTTGAATTCTCCATTCTGATTGGTCAGGAGGTGATGATTAATTTGCTATAACAGCAGCTCTGACACAAGTTCCAGCTATAATTCAGATCACAGGTTTATATTAATGCACTTGTTATAATACATGATCATTTCTATAGTTCTGTAACAACTTAAAAAGGGATTTGTATAGGGAACACTCCATATAAACAACTTAAAAAAGCATGCAGTTGTTGATATGGTAAAGTTTTCTGTGAGGAGATGTTTATTTAGCTATTTTTTTTGGTAAGGAGTCTCCAGTTTTAGTGCTTTGTAACAGTCTGAAGTAAAGCTATAACTAAGAAACAGAGGACTTTACGGTTTCTTGGTAACAAGCTACAATTTTTTTGTCATATTAACTTTAATATAGAAAGAAAAAATACATGATGCAATGTAAGCGATATCAGGAATTAAGTTCGTGGGTGTTCCACAGCAATGAAGGTAACTATAAATGGATAATACGTACAATGCGATGTGTAATTCTTTAATAAATAAAACATTGTTAGCCCTGGAAAACTGCTGTGGTATAAGACATTTTGGGTGTCTTTTATTGGAAAATAATCAGCTTTGGAGTGGTAACAATGACTCCGCTTTGTGTCAAGTCACATCACCCCACCCTGTCATTGATCATTTTCCTACAACGGCACACCCAGTCGTGTTTTTCTTTCCTTACTTAATAAGTTAAAGATTAACCAGTGGCCAGTTCATTATATTGTTTGCAAACTAGCAAGACAGATACTATAGCTAGCTAGCAGGCAGGATACGATCTTGTATTTATGTTAAGTGCTTAACATTTGGGTTCTAGTAATACTTTAGAGACCAAAGTATAACTGACTGATCCTTCTTGATTAGTGCGCTTCCAGACAGATATACAGAGATAGCGTTAGCTATCATTCACTAGAACATTAGCATCTGGCTCTACTCCTTGTCCTTGAAAAAATGCTGACAAATGAAAATATCAAAGAGAATTAATGGCTGCTAAAAAAAAAAAAAAAAAAAAAAAAAAAAAAAAAAAAAAAAAAAAAAAAAAAAAAAAAAAAAAAAAAAAAAAAAAAAAAAAAAAAAAAAAAAAAAAAAAAAAAAAAAAAAAAAAAAAAAAAAAAAAAAAAAAAAAAAAAAA